TTTTAAAATAATTATATTTTATAAACTACGTGACCGATTAAAAAAGTAATGATATCAAAATAAAGGCAATTAATCCATCTTTAAGTTCATATATAAAATGCGTTTGCTTGCATGATTCAATAATACAATAATGTATTATTGAATCATGAGCTGAACGGTTGGTTATCTTGATGTGTTCCCCTTTTAGGTCACAACAGCAACACTGATTGGAGGTTTCATTTATTTTAAGAAAAGCGAATCAAAACAGAAACCTTCACCAAAACATCCAATAATGAATAATTTGGATAGTTGTGGCCAAGCATCCTCCAAATTGGAGAAAGAAACATCCAATTTAGCCTTGTTAAAAGATAGAGTAGAGAAATATCATGATTTGTCGACGCAAATGTCAAGTATTTTAACTGTTTTCGAGCAACGCCTCGGAAAATTGGAGCAGACAATACTGCCAGTATATAAGGAGACAGAGCAGCTTCAAAAACGACAACAGAGTAAGATAACACAGCCCAAATTTTAAACTGGTTTTAGGAAAATAAACTTAATATTCATATAGATTTGGAAGCAACTTTAGTGTGTCTTGAAACAGTACTTGCCCACTATGATATTTCCCAGGAAGTGTGCAATCTTATTCACCAAGGGCCGATAGAAGGAAACGTTAATGGTTTTCTTGAAGCTTTGGGCAAATTGCGCGCTGCAATGGACTACTTCCTGCACCATAACTCTCAAAGCGTTGAATTGGAAAATGTGACCAGTCTTTTCAATACTGGCTGTGAAGGCTTAAACCAACATTTTCGTTTGTTACTGAAGAAACATAGCTCGCCACTTAAACCGGTTGAACTCTTAGATCTTATTTATATTGAAGATGACTCCAGCGATGAGTATACCTCCTTCCGCCAATTGTCGCAAAACACGCGAGAGGAGCTAGGTACCATTGCCCATTGGCTGGAACAAAACTTGCGGCGCGAATATGCAGTAATTTATGCCACAGAAAGAGGAGAGGTGGTACTGCGTTCACTCCAAAATTTAAAGGATCATCAAAAAAGCAGCAGTTGGGGAAATGAGGCTTTGGTGTGTAGTACATATCTTACTTACACGCTGCATTGTAATTATGAAATTTAATATTACTTTCCCAGAAACCACGTCACAGTGGACGACCTGAAGTAAAGAAGAATACGTCAGCCCGGTTGCAACAAATGTTAGAAATACATACATATTTACCTTCCCATTCTAAGATAATAACTTAATTCCTTTTTGCAGTTTTGAGCGAAAAGCAAATAAATTATACTTGCGCGCAACTCAGACACTTGAACAATCAACTGGAATATCCATAAAAAAGGCTTCGTCGCAATCTGAACACTTGTCTGCTGAGGAGTTCATGGACGGTGATCAAGAACTTGACAAGTACCTTGTGATGCTCTTGGGCTTACAGCGACTACTTAATTGGGAGCGCTCTTTAATGACAGAGATCGTGCCTGCATCCAAACACGGAGATGTTTTTTCAAAGTTAGCTTACAACTCTATTGAACTGGTAGTTAAAGATGCAGAAGCAATTACAAACCGCATTATGCGTTGCATATCGCGAAAAGAGTGGACATCAGCTTTAGGAATATTTTCGGCACTCAAACGTGTAATCTTGCTTCAACCAGACATTGAACGTACCTATGACCCACAACAGCGAGAGCAACTTACAAAGGTGCTTAATAAGCTTCAAGCAACGGTAGGATGATCGCATATTTTTCTTCGTTGGTACCTATTTATATTAATGCTTAAATAATTAATGATTCAAGGGCGCTAAAGCACTAGAACATTTCCTGGATGTGGTGAAAGGTGAATCAGGAACTAACATAGTTGGCATGAGTTCAAGTACACTTGGTTATGGCTATGTTAATGTTCCGAAAGATGCTACGGTGCACGAACTGACCTCCAACACAATCTGGTTTATAGAACATTTATATGACCATTATGATGTGATTGGCTCTATCTTGCAACAAGATGTGCTTTACAGTACGCAATTGGATACAATACTCATGAAAAAAGCACTCCCTGGCGAAGAGCGTAATAAAGCATTGCTAGCAGTTTATATCAGTAAGTTAAAATCAAGTTCTAATAATTGTTGCTATTTAATAAATTTTTTAATAGAAAAAGCTTTAGCGGAGCTTAATCTTTCGATAATGAACAAATGTGAGCAGTACAACGACCAAGCTACAAAACATCTCTTTCGTTTAAACAATATTCATTATATACTAAAATCTCTACAACAGTCAAATCTAATTGATTTGGTAACACTAGCAGAGCCAGAATGTGAGCAATGCTATTTAGATATGATTCGAGAACTAAAATTCTCTTACCAAAAGACTTGGTCTAAAATGCTTGTAAGCATAGGAGTAGATGAGTTGCCGCGGCCTTCACATGGCAAGGTCAAAGATAAAGATCGCAGCATATTGAAGGAGCGATTTTCAGTAAGAAGTATTTTTAAATCTGTCGTTTTTCTTTACAATAATCCATCTCCTCCACAGACGTTCAACAAGGATTTCGAAGAGGCTTGTAAAGTTCAACGTGGTATTTCCATTCCAGACGTGATTTTGAGGGAAGGTATCAAACGTGACAATGTGGAGCACATACTTCCGAAATACAATAGATTTTATGAAATGTAAGCATACTTACGCTTGATATGATTATTATACATATTTCATTATATTAATACGTACTTCTTCGTGCATTTAGGTATGCATCGGTGCAGTTCAGCAAAAATCCAGATAAATATGTAAAATATCGGCCGCATGAAATAAACCAAATGCTAAGCAAACTTTTTGATGATTCAGCTTAAGTTAAAGTTAGTAACTCCATTATTAGTGAACATGAGTTACGAACTTGTTCATATATAGTTTATTTTTATTTTTTGTCAAAAATATGATATAAAAAATCTAACATAAATACAAACACACTTTATACTATATTTTAAACTAAACATGAGTATCACTAAAATAATAAATATTATTCAAAACTGTTTGCAAAACAGTAGAAAGAAACAAATTTAAATAAATATAAATGCATAAACAAAAATCATAAAATATCTCTTTATTTGCAGTCCATGTATTGGTCATGATTTGCAATTGATGTTTACGTTGGACTGACGTCCGCATCCAACGATTAATTCACTTCAGTAAAGATAATTTGTCGAAGGCGCCTCTGGTCGACCACATGCTCCATAGTGACTCACTTTCACTGTGTTATTTGTTCGACAGTTTTCAATGTCCAAAAAGCACTCATTAAGATAGGTCATGTTATCCGTTCCACAGATAGGTTCGAATTCTCTGGGGCAAATTCGCGCACAGCCCTTGAATTGGATACTGCTTAGGCAACGTTTTAAAGGAACAACAAACACATGCTTGCCACAGTTTTCTTTGCGCATGTGGCACTCGGATTTATAAAATTTATTATCAGATCCACAAACGAAATTTGGAGGCTGGGCGTCACAATCCGACTCGCATTCGGCAGTCAGCAAGCAATTCTTCAAGGACACTGGAACGACGCGCATGTGACAAGTGCGTCGTTTGAAGTCACACATTGATGGGAATGTGTTGCCGTCAGAACCACAAACAGGGCCGCTTTCGATGTCGCTTCGTGTACAACGCTCACCACAATCCTTTGCCTGTGCCTTTAGGTCTGTACATGGGCCAATATGAGCCAGATTTACTCCTCGTCTAAAAATATTAAATAAGTAAAGAATATTGATTAAAATTTAATTGATATAAACGCTTTTGTGAAGTAGTTATATAACAAGTTTAGGGTCTTAACGACTCTATGCCCGAACGCCCATAGTCAAACCTTAAAAAGAACTTAATAAAATTCTCTGCTTAACACTATTTTATAATGTTTTAACCCTCTAACTGCTTTTTTAAACTAACTTTCTCATATAAGGTCACAGAGGCCCATGGAAGGAGTTGCAGGGTTAATAGTTTTCAAGAAATAATCGCTCCCTAAATTTTTCTATACATATGTACATACATACATAGGTCTCTGAAGTCAGGAATTGGGTTTGAAATTTATTTATTATTTCTTAATTAATGCATTGTGCATACATTTATAATGGTTCTGCCTCAAAAACCTCCATCGGAAACGGGAAACCAAATCGATAGTGTTGTGAGAAACGGAAGGCTTCCATTGTTTTAGTCGTCCGTATACTCCGAGGCCCAAACATCGACTCGGACCACTATCTTGTTGCAGCCAAGACACGCACCCGCCTATACGCAGACAACAATGAGTGTCCAATAATGCAAAGAAAGCTCAACTTCGAAAAGTTGAAAAAAAAAGAAACAACCTACAGGGCCACGCTGAGGTTGGCGCAACGCGAGCAATGTCTGACCATTATAGCAAATTGAAGAGTGAGAGTGAGACGTTTTTTTCCGCAATAGGAAGAGAGAGGACGAAATACGTGAGTGCGAAGAGCTTGAAATGNCGAGCAATGTCTGACCATTATAGCAAATTGAAGAGTGAGAGTGAGACGTTTTTTTCCGCAATAGGAAGAGAGAGGACGAAATACGTGAGTGCGAAGAGCTTGAAATGCTGTACGAAAGGAAAAACGCTCGAAAATTTTGCCAGAGAGCTAGGCGACTTACGGAAGGTTTCAAGACCAGGTAAGACCAACTGAGGTTCAGGACGGACTTAAAATATGGAGGGAGCACTTGTCCACCCTACTGAATAGTAGCAGCACTGGAAGTTGTGGAGAAGACGAACCCGAGCCCCAAGTCGATGATGACGGAGTCGATGTTCCACCACCAGACTATGACAAGCTGTTCAAGTACGGCGGAGAGGAGCTGATAAGGTGCATGCATCAATTTTTATGCATGCCCTGCGACCATACGCGAAAATTACCGCGGTATCACCAACTCCGTCAGAATTGGGAAGGACCTCTCCGAGCCGTTTGATACCAAACGATGTTTCTGACAAGGTGACGCTCTTTCGTCTGGTTTCTTTACTATTTTTTCGACAAGATATGTTATAAGAGCCGCAGAACTGAACTGCTTAGGCACGATACTCTATAAGAACGTAGAATTGTACGAGGGCTACGTCTGTTTTGCCTTCTTGGAATTAGATAGAGATGCAAAGCGTGTGGGTATGGCGCTAAACGAGGACAAAACGAAGTATCTACTGGCATCAGACAAACAGACAGAACATAAGCGTCTCGAAACCTACGTCACTTAAGAGGCGGATGCATTGAAATTTCTTCCTTCTTCATGACATATTTTTCCTATGCAAATTTTTCCTTTTAAATAATTTTTAATAAATGTAATAATTTTTAGAACCAAAACTCATAATTCAAGTGCCTTGTGAAGCGAAAAAACTAAATTAAAGCCAAGCATGGCAATAATGGTATGTTCGGAATTAATGTTGAAGTTAAGTTAAAAGTTCAGAATTTTTCTCAGCAGCTCTGAATTGAGAGAGAAACATAACAACAACCACCTGGAAGAAAAGTTGAAGTATGTATAGCTGCGAGTAAAGTAAAAGCAGAGTTCAGAATTCTGTTGTTGGCATCTTATGTTCATTTATTTATTTTTAATTGTTTTAATATGAAAGATAGTTCCGTTCATATCGGAAACCACATAAATAAAAGTTTGAAGATTACACAAAGTTCGCCGAAATTAATCAAATTGCAAAAAAAAAAGCATACAATTTCGTACTTTTTATTCAGAACATGAACAAAATCCACACCCCCAACAAACAAAAATCTCACAACTAAGGGTAATTTTTAGCGCCTGAAACTTAAACTTTGTTTTGCCAGAATTTAATGGGCTACAAAACTGCATATTCGAAAATTTAAATTTTTGTGAACTTAGAGTTTACTTTGAAACTTTTTTTATGTGGTTTTTGTTATGAATCGAACTACATTTTAAATGAAAACTATTAAAAATAAATAAATAAATAAGTTGCAGCAAAATTAGTATTAAGTTCTATTAGAAAACTCAACTATAAAAGCAATTTTCTGAGTTTTGTTTATTTCTTTTGGGACTGTGGTAGCTTACTCCTCACGCAAGCAGCATGTATTACAATTAAAAGAAAAAATCATTATTTGCGGTATCTGGTATTTAGAGATGCCTAAACCGATCGATGAATCGGCCCATGCCGAGGCTAGCGTTTTTAGCGATTGCTTTTATTCTTGTCTTTATCTAGATAGTCTAACCGTTAAGCTTCTGCGTAACACGTTTCCATCGAAAGTATTATATTCTTTCGTGACGATTAGCATTAATGCATTTAGTATATATCTATGCAAATAATTGCATACATAAATACCAAACGATTCAGTAAAATATTTTAAAATTAGCATTAATTAAGTACACATCGTTCATACTACATAGTGCATACTAGGGATGTTGCGAATGTGGAATTTTAGACATCCGCGGCAGTGTTGCCAGAACTTTTTGGGCCGACCGGCTAGATTGGCAAAAAAAAGCGGCTAAAAACGGCTAACTTTTTTTTACAAACCGGCTAACAAATCGGCTGCCGGCTAGATCGAATTTTCTCCGGCTAGTTGCTATCAAAACCGGCTAAATCTAGCCGGAAAACGGCTAAAATGGCAACGCTGATCCGCGGATGCGAACGCGGAGAACTAAAGATAGGAAGTGGTTTTAACAAACGGCTAATTAAACTTGTAAGAAGAAAGTAGTTATTTGTTTAATCAATAAACTGTGTCAGGATACCACTTTGTGATGAGTTTTCGTACGTTTTAAAATTTTACACTTTTGAATGTAAAGAAAAATTATATCAGCCGTTCGTCGAGCTTGCAAGTTTCTGCAAATTTTCTGTTCGCGTATTGTTTGGATATTTTTTTCTTGTGAGAGAACTGGTTGGTAGCAGACTACAGGCTAGCACTACTTAACTGCCAACTACTTAACTCACCAAAAAAACCACCTCCCCATAAAAGAGAATAAAAAAATATTTAAAAAATAGTTCCTGAAAACCCCCCAATTTTTTAAACATTTTTTTTATAGGGAATTAAACAAGGAATACGATGGTATAATTTCAAATCCCTAATTTACTGGTCTTTACTATGCAAATCATTCTTCACAAAAGTTCAAATGTTAATAGTTAAGCTAGCTTTACAACAATCTTGACCCCCTTATATATAGATATGTTAAGCCCGTTTATTTAGCTTTAAAACGACGCTAAGATGAAGTCTCTACGATGCGCAGAACCCGATATATAACTATTTGAAGTAGTACATGATTAGTCAGAATCGCGAAAAATTGCTAACTTTGACAGATCACATCTCCGAAGAAGAAAAATTAAAAAAAAATTCCTCGAACACGTGTTAGCTTATTTCACGTATAGAACCCATAAAAAAAATTGAAGCGAATCGGAGACATGACATATTTTTTTTTACGAAATCCGTCCGACTTAAAAAAGAATGGCTCTTATGAAGACTGTTACAATAAAAAAACAAAACGAAATTTGAAAGCTTTAAACGCGTCTCCTGAATGATTCCGATATGTATTTGCATTTTTGTAATGCATGGAGACTAGACTTACAAGCATGTTGCATGCGCCAACTCGCACTCATTGTTGTACGTTTTTGAATCACTGCCGCAGAGTTTATCGTTTCGATTGGAAGAAAATATAGACCCAAATAAGTTGTTGAAATCTTTGCAGGGCGGCAGCTGTTTGCATCGGTTTAAACGAGTTTTACACTTGTCCATGCCCATTTTTTGTATAGATTTGCGTTGCGGACTGCAATAAAAAATTCAGAACAATAAAATGAGAAATTTATCAAACTACATATCTACATTAACTTCACAGCATGTCTGATCCGCTTTACGCTGTACCGGCTTACTCCTACTTACCCACAATTGAGCATTTTCAATTCGCAGAGCGATGAATAAATATTACCATCGCTTCCGCATACATACTGCGATGGCGCGTCTGAAGTTGGCGGACATTCGGTGGGACAGTTATCAGCTGCTTTGCTGCCATTACTATTTCGCTCCTGCGACATACAGAACGATAGCGGTACTTCGAAGATATGCTTGCCACAGTTGTAGGCACGCATTTTACATGGACTGG